CATGGTTAAAATGGTGCCCGTTGAACTGTCATTTACCTCTTAAAGCAGTATCAGTTTATCACTTTGTGTGTGTTAATCTTATAAAGGTTACATCCTGTTGTGTGTCTAGCTTAAATAATAATAAAATATGTCAACACAACTTTACTATATATCACATACAGTACATGTTTCAGCCCTTCAGGCTATCCCCAGGTGTTTGTTTTAAAATGTACATAGAACAGCAAATTGCATACTAATCGCAACTTAATTTTTAAGGTTATGGGTGCATACTTATGATACATTGCATTTCCTTAAAATGGTTAAAGTTATATTTCTGATATGTTACAGATGTGTTCTTTGCCTAGTTAAAAACAAACAATGCTATTATTGGCAGTAGAGTGTAACATGAAATTACGTTGTTTAATTTTTGTTGTATTGTTCATTACCATATTAAGAGCACAGTATTGTCTCTCTGAACATAGTCACAAAATTAAGGGCTATTAAATTACTCTCTTCATTTTTTAACGGTAGTTCAGTTTGTGTTAAAGGACATTACAAGGTGTTGATTTTCTGCATTAGCAATCACTTGGGTTATGGTCACCAGTCCCAAACTACTAAACAATTTTCATAGCTGGGCAAAATATTGTTGGGTGCTTTACCAAATTATGGAAGACCAAAGTACCAAATTATGAGGTACTAAAATTCACATGTCATATATATTAATTTGTATAGTCTCATTGTACAGGCTGTGTAGATATGACTGAAAGTGATATTTCTAACTGAAATATGTTCCATTGTTAAGGTTCATTAATGTGCATTAATTGAATGCCCTTGGTATATGCAGTGTGACATTTGTGTTGTAATTTTGAAAACTTGTGGCATTGTTCCATAATATGAAGTAAATGGCATTCTGTTGATACTAAATGGTTCAGATGAAGACAGGAATGTCACACATAATATATTCACTTGAGGTTTGTCAGTTATATAGTCACTGACATTTTACTTTTAATGCACATTTATGTGAAATACACCTTTTAGCACATACATGTTGGCATCTTATAATTGATCTTTCTACTTTCCTTTTAATCTTTTGGGATTGTAAAGTTGCCTTTCATCCAGAGAAAAATGTCAGGCAGGGCAAGGTATCTGCCTGGTTACGATTTCTAAGTACAAATACAAGAACTACAATCTATGGACTGACATCCTGTGCATTGCAGCCTATTATATTAGTTACCCATGTTTAATGCAATGACATCGATTTATTACTTAGATTAATGCAATACACTAGCATTTATCAGCTTCATGAGTTGCTCTCTTAATATTAGAACCTCTTACATGGATGTTAATAAAATCATTTGGGTTGCACTTGACTGGTATAGTTTGGTGATATCTTGATCTGTGATTCTCTTAGATAAAGAAAAACAAAAATAACAATAATCATACTTCCCGCATAGTAAATAACATTCAGATCTTTTAAAATGCTTTTAAGCCACTGGTTCAAGTGATTTGAAGGATATTTAGCTTGAGGGGGTTTCTACAATAAAGTCCATTAGCAGGATTTAGTGGCTCAAGAACAGTATATTATTGTTCAAACAAAGGTAACAGATGGAAATGGAATCATTGTTAAAAATTAAATTCTATGTTTCAGGTGATAACAAAAGCAAAGCCAATCATATGTTGAACATTTTCTAGTCTCTTTCGATGTCTATATTTTGATATGAAAGTGTAAAGTAAGTTACAGTAGAGATTTTTACAATGAATACATAAGGAAAATGGAGTAAATTACAATTTTTGAAAAAGATATTTGTTTTTAATTGTTTATTGATTACTTTTGTGAAACTTTAAAAAGGAAAACATGTTTCAAAGAATTATAGAACAGTTGAGAATATGTGAGAGTAAGTACCTTAAAAAAAGAAAGTTCTAATATGGTACCATTGTAAATATGTAAATATTTTTAATTAATATTATATTGAGGTAGCGACACAAAAAACTGTGATTTTGCAATATTCATGTAGTAGGCAGGATATTGGTTCTGTATTGGCCCATCTTAAAAAACTGACCTGTTGCTACTTGTTAGAAATAGTATTGCAAGATTTCAGAGGTTTGCCATCTGCCTTACATTTCAGAGAGAGATGCTCGTATTTTTATGTGCTACTTATCATCATCAAATATGCTTCTATCTCTGGTTTGAAATAAAGTGACAGTACATTTTGTGTGCCTAATCACACATTGAAGATCTTTTATTTAGTATGTATTTATGATACAGATTATGAATATGGATGTTGATCGGGACCTTCCCAGAAATTATGCAGTTTTATGAGATGTTTTATATGGATGTAATGATATATGTAAGAAAATGTAGAAATGGATTGTTTTCCATATTCTCTACTATTTTACTCCAGGAATGGTATTCTGAGAGATTGCAACTGCAGGAATATGGTTTTATTCACTGTCAATTAGGAGTTGTTTTGTAGGGAACAAAGCAGTCACATATTTTACCATCCACTGAAGATGCTTGCAATTAAAATTAACAAGTATAATTCCTAATTAGACTGAACTGTGTTTGAATTTGTTGTTTTTTAAGTTATCTTCATGGTGTTGAAATTCATCAAAGTCTATTGAAAATCAAACTATTATCAGGATGCTTTCTCATATTACATACACAACCTTAACTGCCATGCATAGGAAATGTAATTAAAATGTGTTTTGTGCACAATATATCCATCCTCATGTGGAGTTTGATTAAACGGACATGACTGACCATTACACAACATGAATTATGTAAAAGATTGCTAGTAATAACTGTAATTGCTGCTTATTTTTATGTCTTTCTGCCCTTATGTGTGTTTGAACAGGTAATCCTCTTGCTGAAGATGGACGTGTTGAATGTGAAATGCATCTTAGAAAAATGAAGAAGTCCTGTGAATGATGTAAATTGTATTTATTGGGTCAGTGACCACAAGAAATCAGATTGCTTTCAGCATATTTTCTTACTGAATTGGTTTAGGTACCATTATCTAATTTAAATCTGATGACATCTAGAAATTGTTAAGTAGGTCAGGAATTATGGACGTAGATACACTGAGTGAATTGCAGCTTATTTACAAGTGTCAGCATTGGTAATGGAAGTTGCTTGTATGGAGCAATTTTTTGAAACTAAACCTTCCGACTCATGAAACTGGTTTTTGGCATATAAAATAACCACCTGAGCATTACCAATTTAATTTAATTGATTGAATCAGCTTTTAGTTGCTTACAAACCAGTATCATGGATTAATGACTGGATAGCTGATTTCTGCTACCTTGATTAATGTCTGCATAACACATTATTGTTTGAAAGAATGGAACATAAAAAATACTTCATTTTCCTCTCCTTCAACTTCTTTTTCTCTGTCACAATTACAATGCATCCAGATGCAGGAAAAAGAAAATGTTCAGTCTCTGATACAGCCCAGTGAGAATTACAGATCATAAATATAAGGAAAGGAGATAAAGATAATGTAACCCTTTGAAGGCAAAGCTTGTCTAAAGAGCATCTGTGAATTCAGTCTGTACCTTATACAAAATACAGAGTTAAAGCAGATGGTACATGTAGTGAAGGAAGTCGTATTTGAAGTGAAAGTTCAGTGTGTGCTGTTCCAGAAATATAGTGCAGCAGGCAGACACTTAAGTTTAATAATTTTTTTCGAGCCACAGCATTAACATCTGAGAAGCCAAAGTTTTTTCAGCCATCCTTTTAATGAAGTTATTTATTTAAATTCACTGTTGGTAAATAGGCTATGATGTGACCTCTCCAGGAAATTTTTATTTGTACAGAGAAAACAGGATACTGAAATACCAGACTTCTAACCAAATTGCTTATATGGGATCAGCATGATTTTCTCAGTAGCATATTCTCTTGTTTCAGCAAACTGATGTTTGTATAAAGTAGTTTTAAAATAACTTGTTACTTTTAGTAGCATACTTTTGACACTTGGATTTTTTAATGTTTTGTCTTCACTTGCAGTCCCATTTTTGGTAGAATGTTTCATTGAAATGCAGCAATAGTCCATTTGGTCTGCAAATAGTGAAGTTACCAATAACTGGTGTGTTGGGACTGCGGTATGTATGAAATTATGTGTCACTGTAGTTTTATATATACTATTGAAAGGTCTTAAACAGTCATTTAGGTCAAATTGATTATGATAACCTCTATATTGCAGTAAAAACCAAACAGTTCTGGAAAATCTCTCATATTTTGTACTGTTTAGCACAGAGCTCAAAATAAATGAAAGGTGGGAACATTATTCCAGTGTATATGATACATTGTGATATTTGAAGTGCTATATTATCCACTAAGTAATGATTTTCTCAATCACTGTATATAACTAGGGAGCTGAAAGAAGAAATGCAATATGATATATATGTCCTGCATGTGAAAAGTGGTATCGGTTCCAAATTTTTGCACCAGTGTTGATCAATTTGTCCTGTAACACACACTTCAGTTATTTACACAAATGGGCACAATTTGTGAACTATATTGTTTTCTCTGCCCTCATAAAGGTTTAGTACCATATAATTGCATTAGAAATTAAAACAGAGAAATTTAAAACCATTGTTTATGCGTATATGATGTTTTCCTCAGCATGCTTCAGAAGTCGGGTTTACTTTGTATTGCCATCACACATACACATTCACAAGAATATCAATGTTTTTGTGTAGTGTAGTTTTATTTGTTCATTTCTGTACAACTATTTCTTCAAAGACAGAAAAGTTAATTTTTTGTGCACATAATTTATATACTGGACAAGGACATTTTGTTTCTCTGCAGTTGATAAGGACTATGACTAACAATTTTGGAACTTGTGTGCTCCGGTCGTACTGTCCATTAACCCAGAATTCTTCATATCACTTCAGCATTCTTCACAAGACCAATGTTATTTTAGTTCTATTTTGGCATATTCCCTCACAAAGTATGGCACCAGAATCTTATACATCATTAAGTGGTTCTAAAGTGATGACTGGCAGGTTCTATGCATTTGTACATGTCCCCAACAGGGTGGATGTGAAAGATATCAAGCTTTTAACCCTCGTAATAACACGAATACTCTATTTTTAATGGGTTAAAAAATATTTTCTTCAAAGAACTCTCATAATTTTTATTACCAGAGGTTATTTTTTGCCAATTGATACATGATCCTGATGCAGTTTTTATTCCTTTTTCTTCCAAATTCCCTCATTAATATTTGAAATTGAAACAGAAGTTTAAGCTATTACTATACTGGCAGGTTCATAGATATTGTACAATCTATTAACAACAATGTTTTCAGGCACTTCATAAACAAGTGTGGAAAACCCATTGACTTTGATTTACAGAGATCTCTGCTCAGTCTGCATGAATTTATGTTCAGTTATATGTTACTAGTCTCTACCACATTTAGTTGCCAAAATTCTATTTTCATCCACTGGAGAATTATGCAAATCAGTTATAAACACTAGTAAAGTATTAAGTATTTTAATACATTCACTGCCAGTGACTAGCTATGGACTGGATGGTCGGGGTTCGATCCCTGATGGAGGCAGAGGATTTTTCATCTACCCTCTGCGTCCAGTCTGACTGGGGCTCACCCAGCCTCCTATCCAATGGGTACCGGGGACCTTTCCTGGGGGTAAAGCACAGCTAGGGTGTAACGCAGACCACTCACCCCCATCTAGTACAAAGGTTAAGAATGACTAGGAGCTATACACCCCCCCCAAGCACCTACATGACGTTTAGTGGGACAGCTTCACTTTTATTACTGCTGTGGCCAAATTTGAGTCTTTACCTCTGAGTTGTAACTTTCTAAATTATATTCAGCTAGGAGGTCATGTTGCATGAGACTATGCATACATTAACAGTGTATCCACCAGGATCCAGAGCTTGATAACATGATTAAACAGCTGCTATAAAAATGTATTTGCCATGAAAAGTTAAAGTACTATAATAAGTAATTCAACTTTAGAGGGTTCTGATGATGCTAGATTACACTTAAAATTATTCATTGTTTGGACTTTTTCCATTGTCCTTGTTTAAAAAATATGAAACCACTCACGTGGATATGATGAGAGTTGGATGACATATGTTGTCCAGTGACAGAGACTAGCTCTATGGTACGTACCCAACTGATTAGGTACCTCTCGCCTAAAGATGGAAATGGAGCCAGTTTCCAAAATGTCATGGTTTTTTTTTAAACAAGGACGATGGAATAGTCCAGACAATGAATAATTTTTAGTAGTACAATAAGTATAACATGAGTACAGTCCTGAGAACATATCTTTAAAATACATGTCATAACTTACAGAATGGATGTTTCATAACAAGTAGCTTGAAAGAAATGGGAACAATTTATCAAAATTATATCTAGCTCTTGAGTTGTTTTGTTGTAGTATTATTGTTTTTGAAACAAACTTACCTTGTTCAAACTTTTTCCTACTGCCACAGTCCATTTCCCAAGTTAGTGTCGGTAAAAGAAAAGGTGAGATAAATGGAATGAAAATGGTAAACTGTGAACCATTTTATTCAGGGAATGTGATGATCCACAGAAAGACATTTGATGAAACAAAGCCAAGAGTTTTACTCCATGTGGATATGTATTTTGTTTCTTACTGGGACCTTGAATTTTCAATACAAAGTATGCAGATCTTTACAGCATAAGGGTTATGTAAAAACATTAGAAGTGAACAGGTTTTTGTGTAGGTACATTTGACATCCAGTAATCATGTTTCTGTTACATAAAAAGAGCCATTTTAAAATATTACAAAATGTTCAAATTACACAGCATGGCTCAGATACATCAAAATCAAGAATGAGCAATGAAATTCTTATTATACAGTCTTTCCATTTGCAATAAAATGCACATGGCCCAGAGACCTTCAGTGGCTAATGCCATGTTAGAATTACAAAAGATTACTAAGAAGGGGTATACCTCATTCAGACCTAGAAGTTAATATGGTAGCTCTTTAAGATATTACCAGTATCACATTAGGTGAAATAGATTCATTCACCCACGTTACTAGCAGAAAAATATTCCTGGATTGGAGGTTTTTAGTTTCAGATACTATACATTAAAACTGATGAGCTGCCCAAACATTAATATGAATTTTGTTACAGAATTTGAGTCAATTGTTATGAACGAACATGTATGGTTCCCAATCGTGGGTGGCCTCATATAGCACAGTTTCATGGTAGTTTGTTTGGCTTTGAGTGATGTAACGCACTGCCCATGGCACATACACATTCCTAACACAACACCTAGACCCAGGTTTTACATGTTGGCAATTCTTTCAACATGTCGAACTGCATCACGCAGTTTCCAAACAAGATCTTGCAGTTCTTCCTGTGTGCACAGAAATTTCAATCTGCTGATAGCAGAATCTTTTCCATACTGTTCCGGACATGATTCGGTATGGAATTGGATCAGGTAGAGGAAGCTTCCGACTTGTTCCAAACTGCTAGCCTGTAAGAACAAACATATTCCAAACAACATATTTTTGTCTTTAAAATTGTGGAAGATTTTCTTGTAATAGGACTCATAAGGGTACAAGCCAGGTTTTTAAAA